TGGTAATAGCTCCTTTCACCTGAATCCTGAGATCCCAGGACCCTTTCCCACATCTCAGAGCAAGCAGAGTTCAACACTCACAGTGGTAAACTGAGTCATTATCAGCTCTGTCTTGCAAGAGGAAGTGGCTTTCTTTATCAGTATTTGGTGGGATCTTGTAAAGAGACTAATTTTCTCAAGGCTATAATTTTTTTTTTTTTGGTGAAAATTTGGGAAAGAAAAAAATCACCAGACCAAAAACTAAACAAAAAGTAGTAAAATTTATGAAACAAATATTTTATCAGCTGAAAAACAGGGGGAAAAAATTAAGGTTTTTATTTTAAGAAGTCCACCTTTTTTCAGGACAAAAAGCAGCTACACTGCAGGCTTTTGAAAACTCAGGCAAAGCTGAATGCATTTTGGTCTGATTTTCCTCAGAGCCAAACAACGGGAAGGCAATTAGAATATGTATATTTAATTCATCGATCATCTATCAGTTAAAACAACTATGCTTGTAAGATAGCCACCTCTTTTCCATGCCAAAACACTCCACCTGTTCATAACACATGGGCTGACACCACCTAGAAGTGTCTTGTAAAGACTTCATATTTTTGATGTTATAATTACAACTGCTCACACCTTCTCTGGCAGAACCTCGTTGAAATCCCAAAGCTCTACTGAGACACTGCTATTTCTACTGAACCATGTTGAAATTTTGGCCAGGATTGAATGAGACATTGCCAGCTTTCCTGCCTGCTGGTTGCAAGTGGCAAAATCCCCAAGGTCTCCTCAAACTTCACAGTTCTTCTCCAGCTTTCCCATCAGCTGGCTTAATTTTGGCCAACTAGCCTCGAATCAGACATTTTCAAGCTGCCTTATCCCCCACAAAATACTAGGACAGTGAAGCCTGAGGAACCTTGAAGCTTCAAGACCATGACTCCAAAAGGGCTGAACACCAAGGCATGGGATGGTTTGTGCAGGAGAAAAAAATGCTGTGTTGACCTGTAATCCCTTACTCTTCCAACCTGGCCAATGCCAAAAACTGGATGCTGTCTACAAAGATACCTGTTCTGACCTCATAGGACACCTCATCCTGTGACCACGACTTTTGTTGTGCTTTTAGTTTAGTCCATCCAATATTTGGTTGTGCTTCAGTGGTTCATCAGTGCTGGAAGTCGAGGCTACAACCTCACCTCGCTGCAGGACAACTTCTCCTGTGATGCATCAGCATCCACGCTGTGGTCAGAGAGGATCCTGCACTGCCTGGGGGGGCCTGTGGGCCTGATGCTGAGGGTCTGCGGCACAGCCCAGCAATGGAACTGAACACCAAACGGGTGTGAAACGCACATGTGCCAAGCCACATGCTCTGATTCAGGTCAAATAATTCAGCCCCATCCCTCTAACAGCAAGACAAAGACAGAATAAAATGAAATTGCCCTTGGAAAATCTTTTCAGGAGCAACAATTTCTTCCAAGGAGATACTTTAATGTGAAATCTTGTGAAAATACTCATGGAAAGCACTTGAGAGTCTAAGATTTTTTAAGCTGGGATCACACTTCTTATTTACAATCCTTTTCTCCTTCCTGCCAATGTAAGAGATTTTAAAGTCAGTATTAAGCACATAAAAACAACAAAGCGTGTAAAAATGGCTTACCACCATGACTTCGCAAGGACGTAATACATTAGTAAAGCAGAAAAGAAATGTTCCTGTAACATTTGCTTTTAAACTGCAATAAAGACTAGTTCTCTTTTGTGTTGAGATAGTGTGCTGGTTCTCTTCTGTGTTGCTATTTTGTGCTACAAGCCAAGTGCCTCAAGACTTAATTTGCATTTAGGTAAAGGGTGTGAATAAAAACTTGGTCAATAAAGAAACAGTTAGAAATAAAGTGACTTTCAGAAAGAGAAAGCCTGTATTTATCACATAAGATCAGTGACATGCAAGAAGAATAATAAAACATAAGCACTGGAATGCCAGTCACTGTTTTGGCATTACTAATTTGGGGATTTCACAGAATTATAAACATGTTTTTCCTCCTTTTTAACATAACAGTGTCCCTTTAAATCTAACAAAACAGAGTAGCTCTCTGAGCTTGTCGTTAAAATTCAGACCATATAATTATGTCAGCTGAATATCTGGATGCAAAGATTGCTGCAGTAAAATAAAAGAGTCATGTTCAAAAACAGATCGGGAAAAGGGACGCACGCATTCGAATTTATTCTCATATAGCAAAACATGACAACTATTCTGAGTTTTGAAAGCACTGATCATTCAGCCTCCGCCGAAATAAAAAGGAGCATTAGGTGCCTGGTGCCTACAAAAACCTGTCTGAAGGGCTGTCAAGCTTTATATATTTGAGCATTCACTGATTACCTGGGTTGAGGCCAGGAAAAAACTCATCCCAGAGAACTGTTAAGGGATTATATGACTTTTTTTCCCTTTGGAGACAGGGGGACTATTGAGGTTCTTGTTTCAGTGTAGGGATATTCCTGGTTTTACTGTCCTTTGCAGAGGCACCCATGAGGCAGCTCAGAAAACTTGCGAGGCGAAGCATTACAGATTCAGAAAGGCATTGACACAGGTATTTCTGCTTGAAACTACTTATCTATCCAGCGGAACCTTAAAAAAATCATTTTTTCAACTGCAAATTCAAATTTTCAATATTAAAGTCCAGAGAAGGACTACACAGCAGTGCTCTGGCTTCTAAAAAGATTGCTCTAGAAGATATTACAACTGAACCACGCTGTCCTTCGAGCTGTGAAAGTCTGTCCGGGGCTTGCCACAGCTGTCCTGCTCTGAATGACTTTCACGCTTTGAGTGATCACCACTTGGCTTGCAAAGGTCAGAGGAGAAAAACATAAGCTAGAAATCAATCACAGCCCAGAACGGTTTTGGCCTGGGCAGCTACATTCCAGCTTCTCTATCTGTGAACTTCAGGGCAAAACGGAGAGATCAAATAACTTTAAAGTGGCAGCGCTGACTTGGGATGAGATGGATGGGGATGCTTTCTCTGTGTCAAGAGGGGCATACTGTGACACAGGCCATAAGACAGCATAAGGAAAGATCACTTGGGGTTTTGAGCCTGGCACCCACGTTTTTTTCAGGCATTCATTGCTTTTCCATCCTGCAGGTTTTCCTCTGCCCCAGATGGAAGGACAGTGTCCCCCCCCGATGGTCAGTAAATCCAACCTGGCCCACAGACAATACTCGATTTGGCCTGTCATCTTTTCGCGGTGGTCTCATGAGGGAAACAGACAATTGTATACATGCACCAGAGCTGCAGGCTGTCCCTGCTCTTTCTGTCCAAAACTTGACTTCCAGCTTCCAGACCAGGGTTGGACCGGGGCTGGACCACAGACAAGACGGTTCTGCTGCTGCATACAAGTCAGCCCCTGGCATCAGCCAACATCCCCTTGGGCACCTGGAGTGACAGACAGCACAAGCAGCTCTCCCTGGAGTATAAGCCTCCTCACAGACCCACAGCTGTTGTGAATATTTTGTCTTTTTAATCAAGTCTTGATTTTCTTTGCTTTTTGAGTTTGGCCATTTATATTTTCCTCTGAAGTGTAGCCCCCCAAAAAAGGGAATTAATTCCTTTCTTCTCCAGGCAGGGATCCATGCCCAGCACATGCTGTCCTCTCCAATAGTCCCAAAGGGGTTAAACATGAATGCCTGGGCTTACTGTCACACCTCCTGTGGCAGTTCCCAGGCGTTCCCTGTTATAAATTTAATCTGTCTTTAAACAGGTGCCGTATCTCACGGTGTCTGGGATATACAGCAGAGGTTATATTTGCTTTTCCTGACCCTGCAAAAGCAGCGAGCCTCTTGCTGAGCATGTCCAATCCTCCCACCGAACAGTATTTTGTGTCACTAAATCCTGTGACTGAGGGCATCCTAACAAATCCCTGAACAAGGAGCCTTCAGAGAGTGGTATTCTTCTGAATTTGAGCTTTGTGAGAGTAAACATCTCCTGGGAGTGGCTGGGGAGGTTGGATAGACAAGACGATCTCTCAGATTTTCTCCCATATTTTTTTTCTATGCCTTGTGTGTGCTTTAATCTTAAAATGATGGATTGTGGCTGTAGAAAAGGCTCTGGAAAGCTAATCAGTTAGTAGTTTGTTGCCATGTAGGGTCTTAAAGATTTATACATTACTTAAATGCCATTTCAATTTTGGTTTGGAGTCCTAAGCAGCATTTCAGGTGAAGATGCTTTGTGCTGGCCCTCTGAATCACAGCCTTCACCACCAGTGGTCCTGCATCAATTAGGAAGAGTCTGATGCAATTAAACAGTAACTGAGGGAAAAGAAGATTCCTGAAGTGAATGACAGTATGTTTATTCTTCATAGCCAGAGTTTCCTGAGTTCACTTGGATCTAGGCTAGTCGCTGCAGCATTAAGTTACCACTTCATGGTCCAAGAGGTTCAGATAATACCAATGTGGGTACCTCTACATCCTGGCTGTGGATGTGGTCTTTGTGCAACCTCAGCCTAGGGTACCAGGACTCAGATTTTGATAGTGGGTCTCTGCACAGCCACCTCAGTCAGTCCTGGATGCCATAATTCTCAAATACGCACCCTAGGTTAATGTGAGGAAGGCAGATGAAATTTCTAGAACGATTTCCCAAGTAGTTAACGTAAAGATCCCTTCCCTCAGCACCACCTCATGTCCAGTTCATTCCCTAACATCTAGGAGACTTAAGCTCTGGTATTTTGGTAGCCGAGGTTAAACCATGACACCCAAGTACCTGTATCTCAGCAAAACATCCTCAGCCTGTGGAGGAAGGTGACAGATCCTTGTCTTACCTTGGTCTGGAACGTACAGAAGACATGAGTCAGGAATGGGTGCTCCCAAGCTAATGAGAGGACTCTCTTCTCCACCATCGTACATTCAACATCATCATCCATCAGCACCACATCCTTCTTCAGGGCTTTCACAGCGAAATACTGGTCTGTGCTCTTCAGTTCGGCAAGGAACACCTAGGATGGAGACAGCTGCTCAGAAAGAGCCATGCTCTTCTCAGAGCTGGCAACACGGCCAGGGGAGGATGGGAGCTGAGCTCTGAGGAATTCACTAGGGTAGAACTTAGAAAAGCTGATGCTTAAGGCCAATTTCTGCTATTAAGACTCTGTAGACTTTGAATTTGTTCCGCACACCCAGAATAGTTTTATGAAGCTGAATCCCAGGGAAGGATGAAAAGGTCTTGGCAATTACAAGAGCAGAGGTTACAAGGCCATATGGACACGACACATCAGAGAGCCAAACACTTCTGCTAACAGAAATCATCTTTATGCAAATGCTGATGAGATACATTTCCTGTTTTCTGACTTTAAATAACAAAACATAAAATACTGCTTTGTCAACATGTGAAATGCAAATGCTCTGCACCAGATCCTCAGCAGGTATAAACTGATGTCCACCCATAGTTAGACTGATCTACACCAGATGTGCCTTTCTCCCCTTCTTCCCAGTTAGCAGGAGGTCTGAGAAAACTGGATCCCCTGAGATTCTGCAGGACTTATTCTCTGAGAAGAGCAAAACACATCCCAGAGGAGTTAGGACACCTATCTAATTTTACGGGCAGGAAAACTGAGATGCGGAGCAGCAGAGAAGTGTTTTCTAGAGACTGTAGAGCAAACAAATCTCCACTGGAAAGCAGTGTCAGTCCTAATCTTTATGCTAACAGCCTGTCGACACTGTTTCCCATAGAATGAATAAATATGTAAGATTCATCAAAGAGGTGTTTGAAGTTCTCTACCAGACACTATTTACTGAGTGGGCTCAGACATGTTTTAGCCCTGACAAAAGTTTTATTTACCCTTTTGGCTAGTGCTGCATTTCACTTTGTAGCACTAGACAGAGAGTAGAGCCTAGAGCCTCCCTCTGTGTCTGCAGTGAATGACCAGAAATGCTAACAGTGCTGATGCTGCAGGCACCCTTTTTACCCTCATATTTGTGCAGGGCACTGCTCTCCTGGGGAAACTGGGAAACGCAGTACATTTGTGACTTGTGTTGTGACTCCCAAGGTGCAGGTAGGCAATGTTAGCCCTCATGCATGGGGTCTTCCCCATGAATGTGGCCCTCAGGCTCCCTGGTCCACGCAGAGCCGGCAAGACCCCTCAGGCGCTGAGATCTGCACAGTCTGTTCCCTCTATGGGGAAGTGAATCTTGCTCCAAGCAAATAAGTGTACCAGGAGCAACACCTACACAGGAAATCTGTGGGTGAGGTTTGCTGCAGAAGGGCATAAAATATCTTCTCCACACCCACATGGTGTACTGCAGAGAGATGCAGAGATGTGCAGCCTTGGAGAGCCCATGTTAACCCAGGGGGCTGAAGCAAGGCATAGAATCTGCCTTCATGGGGATATTCAAGACTTGACTAGACAAGCTGCTGAGCAACCTTCTCTGATTATACCTGTTTTGAGCACCAGGTTGGATTAGATGGCCTCCAGAGGTCCTTTCCTTCCAATGTAAATGTTTCTATGATGTCTACTCTCTTGGTAGGTTAGTCTGGGCTGTGGAGATTTGGGTATTTTGGCTTAATTCTAACTCAGATTCTCAGCTCTACTTCCCATGTGAAGTGTAGGCATGCCAAGTGTTTTCAAGTATTACAAAGCCAACACAGCAAATATTTCACCACTTTAAGAATTGGCTGCAGCAATTGCTCCAGCTCACATAGCAGGCAAAAAGCAGCCCTTTTTAAGGCACAGTTTCCACCTTGGAAAGATCTGGGATCTGAGCATAATGCTACTCATTCTCCTTATTGGGTGTGAAAACACAATGGTGAGTTCCTCTGAAATTGCTTCACACAGCTCTGTGCTGGCACTGAGTATCACAAATCCCCTTCCAGGGGACATCTGCAAGAGGAGGAACAATCCACAATTCATCAAGATTAATGAATCCACTGAAAACAGGTGGTTCTTGTTTCAAAAGCACAAATTCTTGGCTGCGGCAAAATTTGCTTTATGCTCCAGCGCAGATCGGAGCTGGGAAAGAACAGTTAGTGTTCCCAGCTGGGAACCTGCTGCTCTGGAGAGGTGATCCACACTCAACTTCCCAACTAATGCTTCTGCCTCCCTCCGAGCTTGCTCAGCTAAACTGGCAGGCATAGCTGCAGGAAGGGGGACAGCATAGATCTTTCCCACCAGCTCTCTGAGGATGCCCAGGCCCTGTCAGCCTGCACAGAAGTGCAAATTGCAGCTCTACTTGGCTGCTTTCCTCCCCTGTCATGGGCAGTCATGAGACAGCAACTAATAGGACAGAGGGAAGGGCAAATTAGATCTTTGTCTTAGGCAAGGAGAAGACCAAGTTCAGGATTCAGCCACAACAGAGCAAGAGTTCTTCAAAGGCTTGGAGATGGTTTTTCCTAAGTGACCTTCTAATCACATGCTATAAAAAGTAATATGCAGATGTATGCAGTGCCGTCTCAGTCCCCTGATGCTTACCTTGCCAAAACTGCCCTTCCCCAGCATCTTGTGCAGGACAAAATCTTCAATGGTTAGTTTTAGCTGAACTTGGTGCTCTTGCTGCTCCTGGGGCTCTTCTCCCAAGTCTGACTCTATCAGAGACTCGCCCTTCATTGTGCCCTCCACTGGAGACTCCCAGGAGATGCCCTGTGGCTCTGCAACACACATCAAATCCTTCAAATAAACCCCTGACAATGACCAGAATATCCCCTGAACACCTATAGGTATTATGCTTAGAGTTTTAAACGGGTATTTTGAATAAATGGAGATGTGGTGGCCACTTACAGTAAGTAGATTGGCTCTGCGCCCACACTACTTTCTCATCAGAGGAAATTTTACTCCAGTGTAAATCCACCTTCTTCGGTGGCATTACTCCTACTTTAGAAACTCCTTCATCTGTCTTTCTGTTTTATGGCAGCAAAACATGACCAAATCTTTCATTTCTGGCTGCCTATGTTCTTCAGTCCTTCTTGCATGTAACCATTATTTTTCAAGGTCTTCTCAAGACCCTTGGCAAAACTAGATGACAAGATGGGACAGCATTTTCATATTGGGTCCCTGCTCTGGATAGGAAGTATCAGGTATCCCAGCTGTCCTGAAGTGGAACTACTCAGAGGTTTTCTTATGCTCCATTCACTTGGATGTACATGAACTTCTAAGAGACCCTGTCCCTTACTGGATTTATCCCATGCATTCTAGTGCACATTGCTGCACTGTTCTGAGTTGCTGAACAGCAAGAACACTACTCAGCAGACAAACAGACCCACATGTAAACCAGATGTGAAACCATCTGGGGCTTTACTGATTCACATCAGCATAGCCAGTTCTACTTGTAGAAAAGAAAGAAAATAAGCACAGATGGGGACACCATTTATTCCCTCTTGTGGGCCAAAGGGCAGGGCACTGTCCCCTTAGCTCAGATGGTGCCAAAACCAGACTCGGAGGCTCAGTAGCCTAGTGCACATTAACAAACCCAGAGCACTCACATAACGGGGCTCTGCCATGCTTTAACCAGTGCCTTTGACACTTTACTCTAGGTCCAGTTTCCAGGATATTATCTCCATGCAGAGCAGTATTAACTTGCATTGAGAAAGTGGATGATGGTGGGCCCTGGTCTCTCAGCTTGACTTTTGTTTAGGGTTGGGGCTGAGGACCCACTGTTCCAGTCCTTGCTAGGCTTAAGTATTGATTCACTTATTCTTCTGTTTTCCCCTCCCATTTCTGGTAGATGCATTTTAAAGCTTGTGGGAGGCAGAAAAACATTGTGTCAGGGACACCATAGGTCTGCTGCAGTTACAGCAGTAGAGTGCTTGGAGGGGCACCATGAACCATGGGGGGGTCCTGAAATGATTTTTTACATGGGCCATGGGTCTAATTTTTGCTCCTAATATCCAGAGTTCTGTGACTCAAGCAAAAAAAAAAAAAACCAAACCCAAAACCAAAGGATCTCCCCAGGAGACTGCAATTTTTGTTTTAAGCCACTAAGCCCCCAGTAGCTTTGTCTAAGGTCTGTTAGTCAATGGTCTCTTTCATTCACCCCCTGAATGCCTGCTCTTGTAGCACAGAGAGTTGTGACACCTACATTGCCTCCTGGGTGAATGAAATGGAGACCTGTCAATGGTTTTCAAAGGTGCTGGATGTCAACCCTCACCCAAAAATATGAAATCAGAAAGAGAATTGACCATGGTAATCAGAAGGACTCCCAAACTCCTGTTTAGAGGTTGGTTTCTTTTCAAAGATCTCAGATTTTGCAACCTACAAGTCCCAAGAAGGGAATAAACACATTATTGGCAGCGGAGGTATGAGGTGTGCTCAAGTACCAGGTCAGAAAGAGAGTTTAGGCATTAGCTGAAGGAGTAGTTGGTGTCTTGTGACAGCAGAGGCTGTAACAGTATGGGGGAAGTTCAGGTTCATAGAGAAGAAAGGACCCAGGTTGGGATCCAGGGTATCCGCCATGCCCAAGTGATGTGGCTGGGAAGAGTTGTTGATATCCTGCGGTCAGAAAGGGTATGAAAGATGTATGAAAGATTCACTGGCTAATAAATTTCCCCCCCCTTGTCACCTCCACCTAACCATGTACAAAACAAAAAATTAACAAAGCCTGCCACCCCATATCACTAGGGGAAACTACCTTTTTTTCCTGTTGTAGATGCCGGCAATGCCTGAAGCGGTGTTACCTCCTTCACGGGAACTGGGAAGCCAATTTCAAGAGGTCCATCCCTGGAGATTTGTTCAGTGTCACGCTGACACCGAGCCTGGATTACAGAAAAGAGCAAATGATTTTTGAGCCAAATATCATGTTCTGAGTTTATGGATACTGCAGCTTCTTAAGTGCGACTGTCACACAGGCCAAGGTTTAGAAGAGGTCTTTGCTTATGAGAGGAGCATCTCTGTACCTAACTTTTAGGGGTTTGGTAACCTAGAGCAAGGTTTCTTATGAGACGTGTGTGGATGTTAACAGGTGTTTGTACCAGCAATATAGAGATCCCCTATTTTGCATAGGGGTCTGAGTCCTGGCTATTCACACAGAGGACATTTTAATTAACAACTTCCTTCCTAACAGTTCTTTTTGAAGAGAGATCTGGAAAAATACTAGAGGCTGGATCATGTGATAGCCTCATCCCTGTACAGTGTCTGGATGTCACAGAAGAACTCCTTGTGCTAATATGCTGCAGAAAACAGGGTTTGTCTGGATTTTAGAGTGGTGAGACAAAATCATGAAAGATAAATCCTCTGAGAGCTACTAAACACTAAGACTCCAGCTACGGCTCAAGAAGACCCCAAAGCCTAAATTTGTGGAGATTAAAAGACTGTTTTGGGGAAAGTACCTAGAGTGTTCCCTCTTCATCACTCAATGGCAGCACTACTTATCACATAAAGATGAGAAATATGCAGAGCTAAACCTGGTAGATAGCCCCAGAGGAAGGTATAGATGGAGAAACACCTGCTGTATGGATGAAGATGTTGCACTGGCATACTTGAGGAACCTAAATATGAAGGACTGAATGCCCACGGATGTTGCTCCTCTCTGACGTCACTCAAGAGCTGAGAGGTGTCCTAACAATCCTGATTTTGAACTAGTATTTCTAAATTCTTTCATGGTTTTGGGCTTGTGACAAGCTATATTTCCTTCTTTTTAATTAAATTTTCTGTATTCGTACGCTGTTTATATGACAGTAGTGTCTAGATCCTCTACCCAGGACCCTCTTTTTTTCATGAGGGTCCCTGATCTGGGGAGTTTCATTCCAAACAGATCAGAGTCACAGAAGAAATTGCTAAGTGACAACCATGGAGCATGGGAGGGACAGCAAAAGGACCCAAACCGTTCCTCTCACTTTGCCCTGGACCCTGTTATACAACCTCAGTTACGAACATAATGTAACTATAGTTGTACCAAATCAGGGCAAGAGTCCATCCAGGTCCTGCCCTGTCTGCAACAGAGGTCAAGTAGACAACAGATAAAGATATAAGAAGAGTGGAGGCATGCAAAGTCATGTCCTCAGAATATTCTCCCTATCTCCACAGATATGAGGCTCAGAGACTTTCTCATTCAAAGGCAGTGTTTTTCTATTAACAGAATTAATTATTCTATCAGTCCTGAATAGATTTCTTTTTCATGAACACTGGAGGTTGTCACTTGAACCCATGAAAACTTTTGGCCTCCAGAAATCACTGCGATGAGTTTAACTACCTGTCCCGTGAAGGACCCATTTCCTATTCTTTGCTTTGTACTTGGTACCCACACTGCTCCACTCAGTGTCCTTATTTCTTGCACCGAAACAAACACTGAATAATGGATCCTCCTTTCTCCAGGTCACTTAGTGTTTAAAAGTATTTACCTGCTGGGTGCTCCCTATCATTGCCAGAGCTTCGGCCATTAGTTTCTGGTTAACTCCACAAAGGTTTGCTACTTTTGTCTGGCACTTGTGATGGACGTTCATGCCACATGCTGAAAGGAAGAACAAAAGATGTCAGGACAACAAAGGATAGCTGGGCTGTAAGGGGTTTGATATTAGGTCAGCCAGGAACATGATCTGCTTTTGGCCAAGAGCAGTGAGCAGCCATGTAGACAGCTCAAAGTCCAGGCACCATTTGTGTCTCATGAGATGGCACTCAGGTAGTTTTTTGGTTCTCTGTGGAGGCAAAGTTTTTTTATATCTATTTCCAGGCAAAAGGTTGCATTTCCACAACCATCTGCTTTTGCAGCTCCAGGGTAGACAGTCTATCAGCTCATAGATAAACTGTAATCACAGAACAGGATCTCCCCAGTGATATAGGATTATGAAAATGGTGAAGTGTCTTGGGTCTGTCTGATAGTGCAAATAGAGCATGAAAATTGAACCTAGGAGTGATTTTGGAAGATGAGAAGTGTCACTGAGATGTTCATTGCATCTCTGGGAAGTGAACCGCTTCTCTTCAGGCTTGTGGATCACATATTTTCTATGGGGTGTCAGTGGTCCTCCTTCTTGAAGAAGGATTCTCTCAAAAAGATGGTCCTCTTGACCACTCCTTCACCACCCTGGATGCCATCACATCCAGGTCTCAGAGAAATATGATAGATGGGATTTGGCTGTTGAGGTTGCAACTCTCTAAAGGCAACATCCCACTGCAATGCTCAGCTCACGCCACATACATCAGGGACTCACCATCACACTTCAATCCTTGCCGTGCAAGGCCCCAGAGGAGTGTGCCGCAGTGCTCACAGAAAGTCGGGCTCTTGTAGTTGTAGACTTTGAAGCGGTGAGGCATGTCGATCTTGAAACGCTCTTTATGGAAATGAAAGAGAAAAACTGTGTTGGCAATTGACTCCTCTCCACCTCAGCTCTGCATGTAAAGACAACAGACATTCGGATGTCTACTGCCCCTATATCCTTGAGTATGGCCACCAAGAAGAAACTATAACTATCACTCAGATATACCAAACTAAATTTGGTACATAATATCTGTGCAATTCAGTGGGAACTGGGCAATTTAATCCCTAGGTTTGATTTATTTGATCAGATAGCTTGCATCTCAGCTACACACCCAGACTCCTGTATTGGTCAATGGAAAAACAGAGGTACTTCTAAAAAATTATTCATCCCATCCTGAAATGGATGTCTATGTTTGTTGTCATGAATCACTCTTTGGAAGCCCCTATTTCCTTCTTTTAGTTTATAAGGAGTGATGACAAAGCAGAAAACATCTATCCTGGCAACATGAGAAGACAGAGGAGATGAATCTCATTTTTGAAGACTATAAAAGGAGAACAGGAGGCAGGGTAAGACTGGAAGCAAAAAAAAACTGTGGGACACAATTAAGACAAAAGTAATATTCCTATCAAGAGTTTAAGTTCCACTTTTTTCACGCCAGAAAAGAAAGTTTATTATAAACTGATATGAGAAAAATAAAATAAATAATAGTGACAATGCTCGATCTTCCACCAACTGTTTGGAAATCTCAGAAAACACAGAGTGGGAAGTTAAAAGTATTGCTCTGAAAATTCAGCGTGATGTCCTGCTTAACATCATGTAGTGAAAAATTTCCTCCAGTAAATCTCCACCTCACATTCATGACTTCCCTCTGAGCTGTACTTCATACATTAGAAAAAATGTCAGTCCTGATTCAGCAACTGCTTATTCAGCAGCTGCATTTGTGTAAATCAGAAGTAGGAGGTAATGAAACCACTGGGAACGTAAAAACCAAAGGGCACTGATCAGCTCACACAGCCTTTACTTCAGTAGCACCTTTTGCTTCCTCAGAAGTTATTTTACAGCAATGTATGAGAGATCTGAATAAGGCCCAAGTTTTTTAAAAGCAGCCAGATAATGGTACATACCATTGTTTCTCTGCTATTGACTGCTGATCCTGTACACTTGGCTATTACTTTATCAATGCACTTCTTATGAATGGCAGCATTACATTCTGAAAGAACAAGTGTGTCATGGTGTTAATTAAAAGTACCTTGAGAAAAGGTCAAGTAAAAACCAACAGTAACCAAAAAAAAAAAAAGATTCTTACGTCTGCACTGATAGCCTTGTTTATTCAGACCCCTGAAATAAACAGAGAAATGGTTAATTCTGAATTTCCTGAAAGCCTCCACAGAAGAAAGGAGAGCAACAGTTATGAAAGTAACAGAATAAAGCAGCTTTGCTTTTTATCAGTCTTTATAGAGCTTCTCTAATCTAAATATCTTTATTCAATTTAACTGTGGAGTGATTCTACATGGTTTTCACAGCCTTTTCAGCACATATTCACATTCTGAATTTCACAATACCCAAACAGCGAACTGGGCTGATGAGAAATATCTGTTTATTTGGCCAAAGAAAAAAATATTTATAAAAAGTAAACAAAGAAACAAAGGGAATTTTCACAGTTGGAGTTACAACTGTGAACCACATCCTTGCCATGATGTAATAACTCTACACCTAAGGGGCCAAGGGTCCAGTTCTGCTGCCTTTACTGACAGCAGGAGCACAGATTCACTGGAGAAGCAGAACTGGCTCTTCGAATTAAAAGGGGAAAAAGCATAGATCTATTCTCATTTACCATACAAACTCATGACAGACAGAGCAGAAGGTGGGCTGTGGAAAGAAGGTGGCCGTGAACTCGTGACATTTGACATTATGGATTTTGGCCTGTTTGATGGCTCCCCTGCGCTGGTGCAAGGAGAAGAAGCCTTCAGTCTCACAGTCAGCCAGGTCCTTTGCATCTAGGGGGAAGGAAACAGATCTATTAGGGTACCCTGTCCTGACCAGGAGCCTTGAGAAAATGCAGCTGCCAAAACACTCAGTGACTGAAACTGATGATTCACTTATTTAAATGAATATTTTTAAGAAACACCATTTTCTGATACCCACACAAAGCTGCTTTGATTTTTTTTTTAATCTACTATTCCTACAGAGACACTAAAATGACTTTAAAACTGGGACTCTGAGCTCCCTTGAATATTCATAATGCTGCTTTTGAAATACAGATCAGAAATTTCCCAAGGAGAGATAATTTGCAGTTAAACATAAAATTCTAACTTTGTATAGCACTGAAGAACCACACCCTAAAAAAGATGAAATTACATAAAAAATAATGGTTATCTATATATGCACACAAACACACACACATATATATATGGGTATTTAACTGAAGCTTTTTTGTGTGCATGTACATGTGTTTGAGTAAGCACGTATGTATGTGCCCAGGATATTCTTTTTCTTCTTGTTTTTCCATGGCAACAACTGCTTTGCTGTTTGCTGTGTCCGTGCCATTATTCACAGTTCACATTTTAACTTTTCAAACAACAAACAAGCCAATTGTGACTACACATGCACATACACATGTGTACTTATATATGTGCTTGTGTCTACAAATTTAGATATGCACGCGATATCTCACTCTCAATCTCTGTTTTCTTTTACTCATGCATTATACAGCAAGTTACATAGGTATTCTGTCGAAACTGGCTCCCTGTGTGATCTGATGCTGATCTTGCTATTTGTAATGCAAACACAGCCTGCATTTTCTGTGCTTTGGCCTCTCTGATAGCTTACCACATACAAGGAGGCAACAATAGTCTATTCTACATTAAAGGTATCAATAGATGAAGAAAATATCAGTATAGACATGCTATCAGCTGCTTTCAGTACTTCTATGTTTCTATAAATGGAAGGTCCCTTTAGATATCCACACCTTGAAGCTTCACCTCACATCTGTGGAAGGCAGAAAGAACTTTAGCATCATAGACAGAAGAGTAAGATGGAGCATTTGGATGGCAACACATTTTCTTCAACAAAGCAAAATGCGTTTCGCATGGACAGTGAACCCTGCAAGTGGGATTTGGTTCCCAGTGAAGACATGTAAGTGACGGTGTGTCCCCTGTCCAGGGTGACTAAGCCACTCAACGTCTAACTGGACCAGACAATGAGTGACTCAGCCCACCTTGCAGCAGAAAACTCCATTTGATCAGATGAATCACTCTCCAGGTTCTTTTCCTGTTTTGCCTAGTTGCTCTTCATTTTAAATGCCCAATTAACACGTACACTTAGGTGTTGTCAGCCATAAGTTGTATCCCAACCTTTACATCTGCGCTACAGTGCACACCACGGCACATGTTACATGCATACACATAAGTACAATAATTTTGGAAGAGATTGGTTCCTTATGTATCTATTCTGTCTTAGCATAATGAGAAAATCTATCATTTTGGTGGTAAACCAGCCAAAATCTGCCTTGCAAATCACAGAGGAACAGTCAGTCTTCATCCCTACCAGATAATAAAAATTGCTTTTCTGGAGTGTTCATTTCAAACTGTTATGATGGTTCCAAATAATAAATCAATAACAACATAGGCACTGCTTTCAGTGAGGACACAATGTCTGCTCCACATAACCAGAAATCACATCGACAAATTAACAAAATCACTTGCCACTTATTTCCAGGAAGTATCTTGCATTCATCAGCATTCGGCCTTGAGGTTTCAGTTCTAGCTGGTCGGGAGAAGTGAAAAACAAGACAAGAAGACCCGTGCAATCATTAAACAGTCATTCAAGGAACCAACAATTATTTCAGATGACTCAAGCTGTTTCCCTTTCCCAATGGGAATTGATGAATGCCAATGAAGACTAATTTCTGGGTTGCTTGTACCCATGGGGCAACAAGGCAGGGTAGGAGTAACTACAGAGCGAGGAGGCTAGATCACCCCTTATCGAACCCTTGTAGTGTCTGATAGAGGGGAAAAATGTGACTAAACCACAGAAGCTGTATGCAGGTTTTTAGACCCCAGCTCACAAGAAACATTATCTATAGAGACAACTTGTCATGCCCAGTATGCCCAGTGGACCTTGCAAGGGAGTACCTTGGAAAAACTCAGCCAACTAAGACAGGTATTTTAAAAATGCTGAAATCATTTAGAAGCTTAGTTCTTCAAGTCTAACTTCCATTACAGTCAGTGTGAGTGATGCTATAAGCTTCCTCAGGCACGTTTTCAGCCTTCCCACTGGACCTGGAAATTCCTACCTATCTGAACCTTTGTCCATAGTGTCTTTGTAAATCTGGATCCATTTGGCCAAAAATAAGGAGACTTGCGTTCTAGGATTTCTTCAGTCTGAGAACCACAACTGTGCCTTCCCCTCCCACCTCCAGCACAGCTTGAGGAGGGTTACCTTCCCTTTCCAGGTGAAGAACTTCCCATGCACATTCAAGTGAGAAAAGTGTTACTCACTCCCCTCATGACCCTTGCAGGATGGGATATCTGGGACCACACTCATGACTTGTACTGGAGTGGAGAGAAGATCTCAGGAGCTGCTACAAGGCTGGGACACAACAGGACCAGGGGCTCCCAACTCCAGCTGATCTTGGGTCTGTTACCCTTGCTGCAAACAAGCAGCACCCCAGCTGTGTCCTCTCTCCTCTTCACCAGGCTGCTGCCTCCCATGGCTTCAAAGTCTGGGGTTGGAGTGATGCTGAGCAGAGCCTTTTGGTTTTCAATTCCATCCCTAAGTATCTCAATTCCTTCCAAGTTATGTGTTGAATGTGCAAATCTCTACCAAATCTTGATCTTAGGTCTGTTAAATGATCAAGATCTTTTTGACTTTTCTACTCTGTGCTTAACCCAAGCAGCTTAGCCTGAGAACTGGCATGAGAAATAAAACTAACAAACAAAAAATGAGGAAATCTGTTTATCTCTAAATGTCTTTCCACTTTATTGTTATTCATGGCATAGCTACAGAATACTACATGTTAAAGACTATTATCAAGAACTTTCTTGCTTGAACTACCATGCAACACAACCTTACATTTAGTAACCTTATGAAGACTGTTACTTCAAATTTACTCCACTATAACTCCAGTAATTTGAAAGGAGTTCCTCTGGCATAACTCTCAAGTCAGGCAGCTGTGAATCAGGTATTTCATATTAGATTAAAGCTGTTTCCCCTGAGCACATAAAATAATTCACGTTTAGCCACTCATATTACCATTTGTCCCCAGTGGGTTTCCTGAGAGAAGATTAATATGAATGTGCCATGATCTCTTTTTCTTTCTTTTACCTGATATGTGTGCAAGTCTTTCCTTCATGTCACACCCAAGCAGACTCAAAACATATTATTCTTTGGATGGCAGCAATTCCTCCTGCCTTGTTGGTTACGGTCACAGCCTGGCATGGACACAAGGCATTCCCCTACACCGCAGCAGCTCCCCACCACACCCTGCAAGAGGAGGTAACAATGCTCACCCATATCTCTGTCTTCCCATTGCTCTTTTTGCACCTCTCCGCCAGAACCTTGAGCTCTACCGTGGTCTCTGAAACCATTTCGGCACTTTTGTCCTTGACGACGATGTGCATGACTCTGCCGTTGTTGATGTGGGCATCAAAAGTGCTGTTCCAGGGTGGGTACATGGTGGGCTTCTTCTGCACGTACACTTGGCCATTTTCTGTCAACAACAAGTGGTTTGGATTGACTGGACTTGGTTCTCATCTGCACTAAGGCCACCACTCTACAGTCTCTGAGACAGATCTGTGTCATTCACCCACTTTAAGGTCTCTTACTGGCAGGGTGGATAATAGATGTGAGAGTGTCCTAGGAGGTCAACTGTGTGAAGTGAAATCTGGAATGGGATTAATTTTACTTAACTTTAGGTGTCTACAATGTGTATGCCCAAGTCTGAGCTGTGTGAACATTGGGTCCATTCAGAGTGAAGAGTGAAGAGAGATGAAGAGAATAATATTCAGTGAAGAGAATATTATCAATATAAATCATTGGAGTTAGGGTGTGTTGATTTGACCAAATACAGACATCTACCTTAGAAAAGAGAATTTCTACCCTCGACTCCATTAACACCATTGAGCAGACTTCAAATGCAGGCTCTGACACTATAGATACCCACTCCTAATCAAGTGAATCCCATCATAGATAACCAGCCACATGTATTAACTCTCCCATGGCAATGCAAAATCAAACAGGTTTGCTTCAATCCCTCCCAAAAGTTGGATGCACTTTTGTGGTTCAGCTGAAACACATGTTCAGTCAGTTGGTACGTCTCAGCTAACTCAGGGATGTTAATACATGAACTGTCTTGCAGACTGCAATCTTATCCACAGCAACGTATAATTCTCAACCTAGCAAACTTTTCCTGCACTACTTCTGTATGCATTAATTCCTCAACCTTTGTAGGAAGGAATGGTGAAGGGTGTCTCTGTGACCTAGCATTAGCTGGCAGAGAGTTCTCTCTTTAGCTAGTTTTCTCTCAAAAGAGCCTCAGACAGCTTTATTTATTTCATACAGCCTATTTTGTTTCATATAGCCTTGTAAAAGGCTTGGGTGCTTACTCAAGGCAAATTCTATTTCACAGTTACCCTCTGCAAACTTTCAATCCATCAAATGCCAAAACTGGTACAATAAGAGAATAAAAAGCAGTCGAATGAGCAGCAGACCTGTGACTCCAGTCTCCTAAAGACCCTGCTTCTATTTCCAATAATCTCAGCCTTTCCCTTATCCCACCCAGCTGGAAAAGCACATGCAGCTGATAGCCTGAAACATGACACGTGCTGGAGAAAACATTTCCCTAGCTGGGAGGACTAATTCAGGTTTCTGTCTTCTGCTCAGCTTTGATTTACACAAGCAGGAACTCAGGGATTTCTGAGGCTTGTACCGCATCTTCAGGATGGATTCAAAATGGTAAACAAGCTCCGGAGTTATTGGAGGCAGGAGAGAAGGGGTGAAAAAGGAAACAGTGATTCTTGATCGTGTAATATTCATCTCAGGAAATGAGGGAATGTTTATTGAGGAGAGAATGAATATCAGGCCTGTGAGATTATAACAAAAATTTCCCTTCACCACCTGGTACACTGGTTCCCTACAAAAGGAGAAAGAACTGCCGGAGCCACTAATGTAAACTATACTCACTGGATGAATTTAGGTTGAGAAAGTAGGTTCCCGAGGAGAGGCATGCAGGATCCTGCAACCAATACTGACTCGTTGAAATTTCACTCCATGACCTGGCTCTCACAAAGCAGTTTTGCACTTGGTTTGATCACAAACAATTCGAGCTGCAGTGCCCTCTGACCCTCAGCACTGGTCTGCACCACAAAACTGAGCGGAGATCATTCCTACAGCGTAAAATCACTTCTCACCCTCGTGCTGCCCTGTATGACAAGTGGTTATGCAGCTAAATCTTAGGTTCAAATTCAGTTTTCCCAAAGTTTTGAGCACCTCGAAGGTGAATCCATCTCTATCAGTTAACTAGGGTTGACTTTTCACAAGTGCAGATTTAGGCAATCATATACTGAGCTCATTGCCTGCAGGTTTAATTCATTCCTGTCAACCTTTCAAATATATATGCCATGCACTCTTTCAACAAAAGCAGACAAAATGAGACATAAAAATGAGACATAAACTTCCCAGCATCACGGAGAACAGAAATCTCAGTAAGGACCATTACTTCTTTGCTACGTCAGTGAAACTCCACAGATGTGAAACACAGCACTTGCAAAACAAGTGCTTTGGTTTGCATTGCACTCCAAAACCTACGGCTTAAATAAACAAATCCTGGAATGTGAATGAACTGGCCAATATATGGGATCAGACAGTCACTCCCGGTGCATCCCCGCTGACGTCTGTGGAATTCTGCCAGGGTTCATCTAACCCTGGGTTCCTGAAAAAAATAAGGCAATATCTGTCTTTCCCGGGCAGCAGCTTCCCCTGTAGCTGGGAGCACTTTTCCTGGAGGCTTGTCGAGTTCAAACGCAGAGCAGGATCTTTCACGAAGCAAATGTCACCAAGACAGGTGGTAAAATGACACCGGGCTGGGCGGCTTGTGAAGGCAGAATCCATTTTTAAAGGGCAGATTTTTTTATACCTCAGAGGTGCCTATGACCCCTGAAATGTTTTGGCATTAGTAATAAATCGCTATAACACTTTTAACTATGTGGAGGTGTGAGCTTTGTTGGTTTTTTTTTTTAAAGATTATATAACAAAATACCAGGATCCCCTTTACAAAATAAACAAGGGGGGGGGGGGGAAAACATAAAAGGCTGCCCAAAATCTTTCCTGGGCTTCTGAAATTCCTTAGGGTGGCCTTGTTGAGACACCCCCGTGTCCACAGAAGATGCACTTTACTCCCAGAACCCTGGGGACCTCCGTCCCAGGGACCTATTCATCATGGCTGGTCGACAAGGGACGGCCTTTGGCACGAACCCAAAGTCAGACTCAAACTCCCTTTTTTTGGGAACCAAACACATTTGTCATCTACCACTGCTCCGTTTGCAAAAACAAACAAATGGACAGAAAACCCCCAAAACCCTTCACATTTCGCTAATGCTATGCAAAGTACATATCTGATCCATAATAAGACATCGCAAAAGGCAGAGCAGTCATCTACCAAACCATTTCCAGCAGAGGGCTTGCAGGAATTTGGGACTGGATCTGTCCTGCATTCAGCTCTGGGGTTAGGCATGTCCTGCCCCACATTCTGCACTCACCTCAATAGAGCAATCATTTGCCCTGGAGAAATCTTAATGGCCACATGTCAGAGCACAGGGCTGGGAGTTGGGATTGTTTCCATCTCTTACCAGCTTTGCAGCTGATTCACTCCTGCTCTTTGGAGATGCCACTTTAGCCAAAATTTGCCTATCAAGGCAGCAATATAAATTTTTTTTTAATACCATTACCACTGAGCAACAAGCTCTTTGTGAAACCAGGGAGCTGGAGATCAAACCAAGATCAAAGAAATCATGGAACAGCGATGAAGCTATTTCAAATATACTCAACTAATGTCTGTCCAGAGACCTTCATTGGTCTTCTTTTGCCTTCTCTGAGCCTGTTTGAGCACAACAGCACTTCAGGATGCTATTGTTGAGAGGATTTCTAGTATTTATGATCATGCTCGTCTCACTGAACTGCAGAACCTCTGAGTGGACTGTCTAAACTGCCCTTGGAGTCAGCAGAGAGCACTGGGCTTTTCTACGGTGCGATTCATCAGACCCATTATGGATGTCTTCCTCAAGACAAGATGAATCCCACCATGGAAATCCCTGTTTGTTCCCCTGGGCTGTAATGTAAGGGCAGCTGACTTACTCAGATATCAATATACTTGAAGAAGACTGGAATTATTGGGGAGAGGGATCCCACAGTGGCCTTATCTTGGCTTAGTCACTTTTAAGGTAAGGTTAGCCACCTACACATTCAGACACCTTCCACCAGCAGCAGATTAACACCTCCCAAGGGTAGTTCAACCCACCCGAAGAGGGGAGTCTGAGATGAATCAATCTCAGGAGGTTCCTGCTGCTATCACTGATATGACGAGGAGTCGCTCTGGCTGCCCCACCACACTCTGAGCAATGGCTAGACGAGTGCAATTACACCCCAGCAACCAGAAACCTTCTAACACAAGGACATAATTTTACCTATATTCAATCCTCACTAATGGAGAAAAGCTCCTCCAAATACACTTTTTTATTTCTTGTTGGTAGAGGTATTATTATTATTACTATCGGTAGAGGTATTATTATTATTACTATTATTATTATTGTTATTGTTGTTGTTATTATTATTATTATTTACACTCAGGAGCATAAAAATATAAATATAGGTCTGTGCTGTCCAAATTTACTTTTGAACTGACAAGAGACTTCGGTTAGAGTTATGGCTTTCAAAGGCCACATTAAAGCAAACATTAAGATAAATAACAAACAATATGAGGAATTCCCTAACACTGAAGGTCTTGATCTTCATGATTCTTGAAAAGCAGCACTGAAGAACTTTTCATCCTCTCACTGGGACTATTTTCATGCATAAGACATGTAAGAAATATTTTCCCAATGAGGACCCATCAGGGTTTTTCAATCAGGGAAAGCGTGCAACAGTCCATATATCCAGACACAGAAACCAGCTTAGCAGGAGGTTTGGCTTTCAAACATTTTACATAGTACAGCAATTACACAGAGAAATTAACTCTCAGCAAAGACAGGGACAGTTAGGGAGCATTTATTTTTTTAAATGGTGGAAGCTGCTGGACCTGTCAGTTCCTCAAAAAATGTGATAAACAGACAGCTCTCCCAGGATATTTCTAGGACACACAGATTTCATCTGTCTGGAGTCCCACTGACAAACCAACAACTGCTCATATAAAAATGAAACCGAATACAGCTCAGCTCATCTGCTCTGTCACATGCTGGGACCTGTAATTCAGTTGATAATAACCTCAAATTGAAGACACAGACTTGTTAGGCATCATCTTAAAATCAGATTTTCTTGCGGGCCATGCCAAACCCAAACATACACTGTGCTGAGACACAAAAGGCCCTTCACAAACCTTTATAAATATTTATCAGTGTTCTCCCTACACACCAGTAATGACACAGTAAGGTGCATACACATCTTAAAAATCCATATTTAACACTTCCCCACTTACCCGACTCCACGGCTTCTTTAACCATCACAGCACAGTAAGGGTTAATCACGTCCCCCTGGGATGGCAGGTAAGGGCCACTGTCGTAGTTGGATAAACCAATACGCAGAAAGGGAGACATGACAAGTCCTGTGTCAAACAAAAGACAGGCAATACTTGAGAAGAGTCTAAAAATTCCCTTGGTTTTAACCAGCCTCTTATCTCTGTCAGACAGTGGTATGCCGACCGTTAGTTATCCATCCAACTGGAGACTCTCGGACTTCCTCCACTGTCTAGCAAGATGACGGACTGACGGAGTGCCGCTTAACGTGCGCAAGGTAGCGTAACTTAGCTGCCGGCTTAAACTCGTAGCTGAACCCATCACAGGGTTGGAAAGACCTGTAACAGCAGCTTTGAGTATTAGTGACTTGATGCCAGCCATCAGGAACGAGAACGACAACAAACAGAAGCCAAATCAGAACTTTCTTGGCTGAGATATACCTCTGCTTGTAATTTATGTTGAGTCACACGTTCGAGAACTCTAATGCGATGAGAATAGAAAGGGTTTCGGGAATACAAGGCTGTTGGAAGCCTGCAAGCTGAACATGAAACTGTGAAATAACTGCATACTATTTATATACAGCATGGAAATGATCTCGGCAATCCACTGCCTGGGTGCTGACCCATATTCATAAGTGAAGCTATAAAGAGAAAATACATCTCATATGAGCCATACTGTGAAAAAAAATTGGATCTCAGGATAATTTTAAGCAGCTGAAAACAGAAACATAAAAGCAAGATGCCAGAAAACACAACAAGGCCTTTGGGTTGGTCTTCTCTGTAGGGTCTTGCAGAGCTTCCAGAGACAAGATTTAGTGAAGCCAGAAACTACTAACGGCTGTAGCTGGTGCCCATCATTGTGCCATCAGGGCCCAAGGGCTAGGATTTACTGCCCAATTTTTGTGTCAACTTCTGAGCTTGTCATTCTTGGCTCCCCGTCAATGGGGAGCAAGAAGCACTTTGAACTCAGCTGCAGATGCCTATAAAGTTAAAAGACATGACTCCTATCACCAGCTGAAAGCTGTCAAATATATTGACAAGAATATAATGTTCAACTACAACAACAGAAAGTCGAATGACTTGTGGGTTGGGAGACAGCTCAGGTCTCTCCTCTTTTTTACACATAAAATGTTCTATCCCAAGGGCAGCTTCTCTAGACTCACACAGAAGACAACCCTAATTAATTGCTGGGAATGGCATTTTCTTACCTGTAAATGGTATTTCCCTGACAGAGAAGTTCAGTCTCTGGCAAGAGGGACTTCTCTTTTCATCACAGTTGTGGACAACATGGAAAGGATTTTCTCAGCTGAAAGAATGAGGATAGCTGCTCCTCTGGCTGGGATGACTTTAAAACTTGGACTCTCTGCTCAAGGAGACAGTAGGCAAAACCATCAAGGAGAGAGGACAGCTTGTGAAACCAAGATGTAGTCCCTGTCTTGAGTGTCTTCTCTTTTACCCAGCAGTGTGCAGCGATACGTTTCCATCAGCCCCGGTTCAAAAGTCTAGGGTGACCGTAAAAGTCAGAAAAACTTTCTGTTAGTGCACGGCCAGGTCTCAGTGGTTTGTTGTTTTGCTTCTGTCTTGATAGGATGAGATATCTTCTCCTTCTTTCTGTTTTATAGAATGAAGACAAACAGCTACAGTTAGCACTGGGACTGAAACACCAACTATTCTAGACTGAATATTCACAAGTACTGAGCACTCACACTACAACACTTTCTGACACTTTTCCGATGGCCAATGCAGCCAACTGCAGCTATTGTCTGATAGAGATTTCAGCAGGGGAGGCTTCCCAGGAAGTTTCCCTAAACCTGTTACCCCACATAAGGCCAATCTATACAATGGACAGCCTAGGAAGACTCTCCTTCCAGTCTGAGCTCCTGAGGAGTTTAGCTAAGAACCAGGCTGAGTTTTCAAGGAGACAGCAAGGACTCATAAACCCTCTTGGATAGTGCACTTAGAATAAAACCATCAGGTTCCTGGGGACAACAGGATAGGACAGAAAGAGAGAAAAAAATCCTGTTATCCACGTCTACTGTAGATCCCTAGGAATGCGCAGATCATGGGCCACCAGCATCTATCAGACCTCTTCTGAAGACTGTCCACAGACCTCTGCATGTGGCATTGCCCTCAACTGGGAAAACATCAGCACTTTTGCAGTTTTACGGAAGCTGGTGGGAAAGGCAAAGCAGCACCCAAGGTGGGATGCAGGAGATTAGGACAACCCTGTTCTCCTCTGGGTGAGAGCAGCATCTTTCTGAAAGATGTTCTATGGCAGCCAAGTGTCTGATGAACTTCCTTTGGAAAGCCACTTCTATTTAGATATTTGAGCACAGGTAGCTCTGTGAGCAGGGGCATTTGTGGCACTGCACAATAGTACAATGAATAGTTTATGAGTGGTCCACGGAACAAAAATGCTAACATTTCTGCCTGGACTGACAGAAACAGAGATATCTATCACCATTGCATGAGATGTTCTGCAGCCACTAGAAAACAGGTGGGAATCTTCTACCCAGCTGCAAAGCCTGTAGCTTTGGCACGCTGTCTTTCCTGAAACCACCTTGGGTTTGGCCCAAACATCTGTTTTCCAGGTCATATCCCCAGCATTTCCCACTACAGGACTGCTACTTGGCGTGAATCCACAGCCATAAACAGTTAAGGAACAACACAACTCAGCTCCAGCAATGGCTCACTGTAATAGCAGCCATTTAATTTAACACTAGAAGCAGCTGCAATGGATATGGAGAGTGTCTGTTTAATTTCTCAGTGGAAAAGATACTATAAGGTACCTGAAACACAAGGATGAAATGCATCTTTTATAAAGGGACACCTGCAACCTCCCCTCCAATAAAACATCAAATATAGCGTAATTGGGGTTTAGCAATACTGCACCTTGCTTCGCTGGCACAAGGGAGCTTTGCCCATGCCAGAGAATAATGCAACATATGGAAATCATTCCTGGATGATACTAGGAAGTAATAAACTCCTTAATATCCTTAATCAATTGTGGTTAAGGAGAGAAGAAGAAATGAGCTCCTGCTCAGCGGAAGAACTGCAGTGATGCTTTTGGTGGGATATATGCTTTTCTGTTTCGCTGTATGAGAACGGATGCATTCATGATGCAGTGAAGATGGCAATTTACTGATTGAGGGCCAACTGAGAGGGGAAGGAAGATTTCTGGATTTGAGATGTTTCTTTACTCATGTCAAACAGATTTTTTGGGAGGTCAGAGGGAATATTTCCAGATCTCTCTCCTTTTTGAGGATAATCTGCATGTAAAATGTGTTCATAATGTGAGGATCAGCATCACCATGATGAAAAGGAACCAGAAGTTATAGCTGAAAGGTATGAACTTTATTTCATCTCCTGAAAGGCATCTCCCAGTCAAAAAGGCAGGTCCTAGCCCTGTAAAGGTCTGTTTATATAGCTGTTGGAGACCTGCAGATGATCCTAGCTCAGCACACATCAGGGTCTTCCTGCGGATTCCAAGGGTCACACGGAATGCCAGCAGCAATGGCTGGGGTCCCTAACTCTGCCACCTGACTCCTCATATCCCACAGACCATACAGTAGGAAACAGGGTTCTAAATAACGCCCTTGAGTGACTTTCTTTTTGGATATCTGTGCTGCCTGTTATTGCAGTGGAGATCAAACCAGCCTGTTCATAAAAGAGGAAGTTCAGAAACCCTCTGAGTGCCATCCAGCATTTCTCACACTTTCCTTTTAGAAGGGTGTGGATCAGGGGAGGAGGAAAAGGAGGGGAATTTGCATAGCCATTTAATTTCCCCTCTCTTGATAGTCAGCTACCTGTCTGCAGCATCTCACCAAAGCAGTGGAGGGAGAGGGCAAGGAAAGGCAGGACCAGCAGTCTCTGATGGGACTCGTACAATAACAGATTCCATGAAATTAAAGTGCCCCACAAAACTGCATGGAACGAACTTGATTTCAAAACAT